AATATTACCATACTATTACAATAAAAATATAAAAATCAATACAATTATTACTGGAGTACCATGAGTATATTTTTATGTTTATTTTTTAATTTTCTTTTTTAGTGTAGATGAAAGTTATGATTTTAGTGGAGAAACTTTTTTATTTTTGAGRSGTGAATGTTACATTTTGAACATTTTAGTTTGTTAGATTTATTAGTTAGTGATAAAAAATTATTATTGAAAGAATTTAGTTTTAAGATTTTAGAAATATAAAATTATGATAAGTTATTGAATATTTATTAAAACATTTAAATTGTTGATATATTTCATAAATAGTATTTAAATATTATTTTTTCATTTATTATATTTATTTTGATTTTTAATAAAAAAAATAAATTAAGTTTTTTTTTAGTTAACCAACCGCAAACGCCGAGAGAAGCACCTTTTGATTTTGAGAGGTTTTAAGTGATACGAAACGGTAGCAAGTGTTTTGCCATGATTGTTGTCAAACGCCAACAACCGCTACCACCCGTAAATACTGCACCCTTAAAGTTTTGTATTCAATATTCAATAGTCATTAATTTTTAATTAAAAAAAATTATTAGTGGAAGTATAAATAGTTGACTATGTTGTATTAAAATGTATAGACAAAAATTAATGAACATGAAATTTATTTTATTGAACATGAAATTTATGTAAAATACATAAAAAAATATAAAATATTTTTTTATTTAACTAATGATTTGTTAAACTCATATCGAATCCACTGTTATTCAAAAGTTAAAAAATGTTAAGGAAAAGAATTTTAAGAGATTTGAAATTCATTTTTAATTATAAATTTGGCTAAAAAAATCACACCTCTAGAGGTATGATTTGAACAAATTTTTTTCAAAAATCTATCTTTCATTATTCATCTTTTTCATTCATCTTCATCATTTTACGTATTCTTCTATTATTTTCCATCGGATCCAGTTAAAAAAATGTCCAAAATTGATCCCAAAATTAGTGAAATTGCCATCACATCTGTCCAAAATTATCCTTTTCAATTGATTCAATTTAGTTATAAGACAATGACAATTTGAGTAATATTTAAATCAATTTTGGATATTCTCCTAAATGTATTTCTCTTTTAATATTCTAGAGATTTTATACATGATATTAAAAAATCTCTATAATATTATAATAAATCAATTTTGGATTTTATAATATTTTGCCTTTTAATATTATTCTAGATATGTAATATTTAATATTACTCTAGATATGTAATATTACAAATCTCTAGAGTAATACAAAATTTGTTTGATGCCAAAATCTTATGAAAATATCTAGAGTAATATTACAGAGGTTCATGTATAAAATTTTCTAGAGTAATATAACAGTTTTAGAAGAATGTTATTCATGGGACATTCTGCCTTTTAGTATTACTCTAGATATGTAATATTACAAATCTCTATAATTACATGTAAAATTCTAAGTATAAAATTTTTTTTATACTTGAGTTATACTTAGAATTTTTTCAACATATAACAGTTTTAATATTACAGAGATTTGTAAGAATGATACAACAGAATCTAAAAAATTCAATTGGGTTTGGACCCTTTTGCGCATAACCATTGTCTTGATGTTTGAAGATCATCTTCAACACTCATTGGAACATGCCATGTTCCATCTTCAGGTTCATGCATCAATCCATCACCATTATGTAAAATGCAGACAAAACTTTTTTATATTTGAGTTTGTGTAGAGCAGAAATTGACATGTATAACAATGGAGTATGGAGGTGGAATGTGAAGTGTGAGTCCATCTTCTCTAGTCACAGCTATCCGAACCTGCAACAGTTTGAAGCCAGATTATATATACACATACATGCATATATTCATGTGAATTCACAGATTTTAGTGTTGTGTATATATATATACCTGATGCTTCTCTTTCCACCTTGGAAATAAACTATTTCCAAGTAATTGAAAGAGATGGTCTCTCATTTCGTCATTCGTCACCAATAAGCACTTGCAACTTACAGCAGCGTAAAGCCAATACTTGAATACCGAGTTTTTTTTCATCAACAAATTGATTTTCACATAACTAATGGATCAATGCATAAACTATAAAGAAAGAAAGCAAATACCAATCATCGTTTGAGCCAGGAGGAGTAGCATAGAGACCACCGGCGTTTTTCCATTTCTCTAGCAAGGCTTTGTTTTTAGGGTAAGTAGCTGGACCTCCGTTTACACGACTCCTGTGTAGAATCACAAGTGGTAACCTTTTCGATGGACTAATTTGTTGACATCTTTGGACTACATTGTTAAGCTAGAGCAAGAGAGTGGAATCACATAAGTTAAAAGTATACAAGCAAGGATCTTGAGATTGGCATTAGAATGAAAAAGAGTTTAAGATCACCTGGAAGAAGCTGAAATTGCGCTGTTTGGCTAAGCCTATGTTGGCTCCGTCTATGACTGCATCAAATGGTCCATGTCTTTGCAGCCATTCCTACGACAAAACAGAGTTAAAAACCAAATCTTTTCCAGCTTTGCTTTAGATAGTTTTACTACAACAGAAATATG